GCCTTCGGCGGCTGATAATTAAAGCATATTCTATCAATTGTGCCATGGGTTGCGCCCCCGAAGGCCGAACATCGTTTCCTATCGGTTGCGCCATACATTGCGCCCTCGGCGGCCTGGAATTTTTCTCCTCCAGCAGCATGGCGCGTCGCGCGCCAAGATCCGCATCCTGCAGCTCCAGCCGCCCAGGCGGCGCGTTCGCCGCCGCTGGAGGCCCGCAAACGGCGGCCTCAACAGGCGAGGGGCAGGAAGAAGCAGGCGCCCGCGCAGGCAACCAGGAGGGCGCAGGCTGCGCGGGCCGAAAGCGCCCAGGGCAAAATGCCCCAGAGCGGACAAGGAGGCGCCCGCGCAGGCAGCCTGGGAAAGTGAGGAGCTGCGCGGGCGATCACGTCCTGGGCAAAAGCTTGCTCGTTCGCGGGTCGAGACCCCTCTTGATCTTGTCCGCCTTCCTGTCTCTCTCTCTCTCTCTCTCTCTGCCTGGGCCGAGGCTTTCTCCGCCTTCTGGCACCTCGCCGCTGGGCCCCTGTGCTTGCCCTTGACCTCCTTGGCGTGCAGTCTGCATCGCAAACAGATCCTGTGCCTTTGGAAGGTTCCCAGCTCGTGCCCATTGGGGTCCGCCTCGTCCCGCACCTCGGGCTCTGGCGGCCTCGGCGCCGGCTCCTGCTGGGTCGCGGCCTCGCTGGCGCCGCCCTGCGACGATGAGGCCGTCTCCGTGGACGCAACCGCCAGGCCAGCCAGCGCCAGCGCTGCAGAGGCAGGGCGCTCGCGGGCTCCGCTGGCGCCAGCAGCGTCGGGCGCGAACGACGTGGCGTGGCAGTGCGCCGCGCGGAAGTTCTTGATGCCCGCGTCTGTGAACGCCGATCGCAGGCAACGGCGACGATGAACGCCGCCCGGGGCCTTGATGATGTCGAGATGCACGATGTGCAGCTTGGGCACCTTCGTCGAGGGCCCCGCGCAGTCGCACTCGAAGTCGCTGCGCAGTTCTGCCGCCTCCGCGCCATCGATTGCAACCCACTAGATCATGGCGTCCAGAGTGAGCTCCCTGGTTCGCCTGGCCTGCCCGTCGGCAGCTGGCGCCCTGATCTGGTCCGCCACGGACCTCGCGCATCTGCTCGCCTCGTGGTTGCCGCGCCTCCTACGCGTGGTAATCTTGCCAGCGTCGACGTCCAGGAGAGTGCCGTGGCCTTTGACCTTCACGATGGTGATGCCAGTATCTCCGACGCTGCCGAAGTCGTCCAGCGCAGTCCAGATCAGCCTCCAGATCTCCGCCCAGGCCGCCTTGTGGGAGGTAGTCGCAGCCCTTCCTCACTCCAGCAGCCCGTTGACGACGTAGGAGGCGTCGAAGTGGGCGCGGATAGGCGCGGCCGGGTGCCTCAGGATGGCCAGCAGCGTCAGCAGCTCGGCGCACTCGATGGTCAGCAGCGGCCCTGGCAGCGGTGCTCCCAAGGCCTTGCTGGACACGCGGGACCCAGGGTCGGCCCCCTCGTCGCCAGGTGGAAGCTCCACGGCCGCGCGCGCGCCGACATGGCCATCGAAGTGCCCGCCTCGTAGCAGCAGCCGCCAGCGAAGACATCTGTATTCTTGAAGGGCATGCCGTCGCGCTTGATCCACTGCAGCCTATCCAGGAAGTTATCCAGCGCTGGTCTCCACACAACCTGCGGCTCTGGCAGCAGCAGGCGCTCGACCAGGGTGGAGATGGTGATGCTGGTCTGGAAGGCCTTAAACTTCTCGAGCTCAACTGGCAGGACTGCACTGGGCCAGCTGCTCGTGCACTCCAGATGCCGATGCCGCAACGCGCCCTCAACATCACGATGATGCTTGCAGTACGGCGTCGGCGCGAGGCGAGGGGAAGCGCTGTACCTCCGCGAGTTGAGCCACTGCCCTTTGATCAAAATAGACCTGGCATAACCTCGCTGGGCCTCCGTGAGCGGCTTCCGCTTCTCGCCCTCAGGCGAGGTGCCCTTGCCGTCGTGAATCCAACGTCTGATCTGGTTGACGAAGGCCCCGTGCTTGATACCCTCGTGGGTGTCGAGCTTGAGCACCTCCTTGATGTACCAAGGTGACATGTCGCCGACATTTAGAACCCCGTTGCCATCTGGCCTGGCCCACAGCTCGAAGTCGCGCAGCGTGTAGCCGAGGCGCTTCAGTGAGATGGGCCCCTTCGCCTGGTCCCACGTGGTGATGTCCTTGGCGTAGTTGAAGGTGGCCCTGAGCTGGCTGATCGACAGCCACTTCTCCCAGACGGCCCTAGCCAAATTGCAGACAGGCTGGAACGTAGCGCCGTAGATGGGGTCTATCTCCTTCGGGCCTCCAATCATGAGGCAGGTGGTGGTGGACTTGCCCTGAGGCCGAGCCTCGACCGCCTTCAAAACCAAGGACCTCGTCAACTTCAGCTCGAAATCCGACAAACCCGTGCAGGACGTCCCGTACATGATGCTCTTCATGAGCCGTGCGTACGTCACCTTAGCGGCGGCCTGACGTCCTCGCCGAAGCCCCAATAGTCGTCGTAGACTTAGACGTGGCAGCCTGGCTTTGGCGTGCTTGAGTCTGTCCTTCCTGAACTGCGTGTTGCGTTTGCCAGCCTCCATATGGTCCACGCCCAGATTCCGCGTGTGCCCAGCCCCTTGCACTCCAGCGCTCTGGAACAGCTTATCCTGGAACCGCTTCCTGAGCTTCGCGTTTGAGGCCAGGACCCTCGACTTCTTGGCTGCCACCTTCAGCTTCATCTTGGCGAGCTCCTTGACCAACGCCTTGGTGCCCGCGGTGAGGTCTTCTGCGACCCACCGGCGGCCGAGAATAAAATCGCCTCCTATCGGTTGCGCGATAGGTTGCGCCCTCGGCGGCTGACAATAAAACCGTCTCCGATCGGTTGCGCCATGGGCTGCGCCCTCGGCGGCCGACCATAAAACCGTCTTCTATCGGTTGCGCCATTAATTGCGCCCTCGGCGGCCGAAAATATAGCCGTGCCCTACCGGTTGCGCCATAGAATCCGCCCTCGGCGGCCAAGAGTAAGACCGTCTCCTATCGGTCGCGCCATACATTGCGCCCTCGGCGGCCGAGAATAAGACCGCCACCTATCGGTTGCGCCATAGATTGCGCCCTCGGCGGCCGAGAATAAAACCGTCTCCTACCGGTTGCGCCATAAGGTGCCCCCTTGGCGGCCGAGAGTACCGTCGCGTAACGGGCGCGACCAGTCCGTTCAGTTCAGTTCAGCTCAATCAATTTACCTCGCGAGAAACAAATACGCTGTAATCTAAGCTGGTGGCGCTCCTTTCGGATTCTTTGGATCTGCACTGTACCCCCCTCCCTGGCGCGCGGAGCGCGCCAGTGACGGCGCAAAAGGCGCCGCTGGGGGGGCCCAGCGCGGATCCAAGAAATCCGCGCGGAGCGCCAAACAATTCTGTTTATGCCGCTTGTTCTTCTTCGTGGACAGCTGGGACAAGCCGACGTCTCACCATTACTTCCGCCCGCCTTCCGCCGGCTTTCCGCGGGAGGAGGGCCGTCGCCGTTTCACTGCCGCAGCCTCCCGACGATAGAGCGGGGACTGCGCCCACTTCGACTCCTCCCCGATCCGACTTGGTTCGTGGTTCGACTCCGATGGCCTCCGACTCCGACTCGGTTCGTCCTCGGACTCCGTTCTCTCGCCGGAAGCCTTCTATCGCCTGCCGACTTCTGCCCCTTCGGCTTCTCCCGGCCTGGCCGCCGATTTCCGCCGATCCGACTCACTTCGATCGCCGATCAGACTCATCGAGTCGGAGGAGGGAGAAAACGGAGTCGGAGCCGGAGTCGGAATCGGAGACGGAGGAGGAGGAGGACGAGGATCAGGAGGAGGAAGAGAAGGAGGAGGAGGAGGAGGAGGAAGAGGAGGAGGTGGAGGAAGCAGGGAGGAGGAAGGAGGGAGGAGGAAGGAGGGAGGAGGAGGGAGGGAGGAGGGAGGAGGGAGGAGGGAGGAGGGAGGAGTGAGGAAGGAGGGAGGGAGGGAGGGAGGAGGGAGGGAGGGAGGAGGGAGGAGGGAGGAGAAGGAGGAGGAGGAGGAGATTCGTCCAGCGTGACGGTGGTCATCAGATCCTTCTTGTACCCTCAATCCTGCCACATAAGAACAAGACACCATGCTAGGCAGACGCGATAGGAACAGTAGCCGTGCGGTCAGAGTCAGAGGCTTGTTCCGTTCGAGCTTCACAGCCCCCTTCCTCAGCAAAGTTGAACAAACAACGAATCCTGCGCTGTCATGGCAAACGACTGAGCTGGAAGTCCTCTTCGGCATTCCTGGGGTCGTCTTAGGGGGGCCTCGTGGGCCGCCTCGATGTCTCGGTGCACTCTCCTGGGCCTCATGGGGTCCCTCTCCTCTGCCTCCTTCTCCTCCTTTCCTTCTCCTCTGCCTCCTGCCTCCTCGTCCTTTTCCTCGCCCCCCTGCTGCTTCTCCAGCACCTCGCCATCCCTGCCCCTCCCCCGCCCCTGCTGCTCCTCGTGTCCTCCCCTCCCTCTTTTGGCCTCCCCCTCTCACCCTGCCGTCTCCCCTTGGAGAGCCCGAGAGCCGACGCCGCAACAAAAGGCAGCGCCGCACCGCAGAAGAGCACTTCTCTGACCCATCGCCACAAAAAACAACACCGCAACACACGCGCTGGAAGATTGTGTGCTGTGCCGTTCTTGTTCCTCCTCCTCCTCCTCCTCCTCCTCCTCCTCCCTGTCCTCCTCCTCCTCCTCCTCTTCCTCCTCCTCCTCCTCCTCCTCCTCCTCCTCCTCCTCCTCCAGGGCCCCGCCAGGGCCCCAGACCCCATCTGCCTGCGGCATTTTCGAGCCGGATCGACCCGTGATGGTCCCGGGGCCCGAAGCCCGACGAGAACGCCCGGCTCAGAAACACTGCAGCGCCAGGATCTCCGGGGAAGGAGGGAGGAAGGAGAGGAAGGAGGTGGGGGAGAAGGGAGCGATCTCCAAGTGACCCCGAGAGACTGCCGCGGACACGGGCGGACCAGCGGGACGCCCCCCCCCCCCCGCGAAGACGCCTCGAAGACGCACTGCTGCTTCGGCAGCACCCTCACCTGGCTGGCCGCCGTGATGATCCGGAAGGTGCCCTGCGTCTCCTCCACCTGGGAAGCCCCGAGGCCCGGGCCTCCAGGAGGGACGGCAGGATAGCATGGATGAGGAGGAGGAGGAGGAGGAGGATGGATGAGGAGAAGGAGGATGGATGAGAGGAGGAGGAGGAGGAGGAGGAGGGAGGAGGAGGAGGAGGAGGAGGAGGAGGAGGAGGAGAGGAGGAGGAGGAGGAGGAGGAGGAGGAGGAGGAGGAGGAGGAGGAGGAGGAGGAGGAGGAGGAGGAGGAGGAGGATGGATGAGGAGAAGGAGGATGGATGAGAGGAGGAGGAGGAGGAGGAGGAGGAGGAGGAGGAGGAGGAGGGAGGAGGAGGAGGAGGAAGGAGGAGGAGGAGGAGGAGGAGGAAGAGGAGGAGGAGGAGGAGGAGGAGGAGGAGGAGGAGGAGGAGTTGGAGGAGGAGGAGGAGGATGGACGAGGAGGAGGAGGAGGAGGAGGAGGAGGAAGGAGGAGGAGGAGGAGGAGGAGGAGGAGGAGGAGGAGGAGGAGGAGAGGCGGAGGAGGAGGAGGAGGGAGGAGGCGGATGAGGAGAGAGGAGGAGGCGGGAGGAGGAGGAGGAGGGAGGAGGAGGAGGAGGAGGAGGAGGAGGAGGAGGAGGAAAACGTGGATAACGCGGAGGATGAGGGGGGAGCAAGAGAAGAGGGAGACGGATGCAGGAGGAGAAGAAGGAAGAGGAGGAGGAGGAGGAGGAGGAGGAGGAGGAGGAGGAGGCGGAGGAGGAGGAGGAGGAGGAGGAGGAGGAGGAGGAGGAGAAGGAGGAGGAGGAGGATGTGCATATGCAAGATGTGCAAGCTGCGCAGCTCCAGAGAATCCCTGGACGGGCCCGTGAGCGAAAACTGTGCCGGCGCAAGCTACCTCAAGCGAGCCAACTCGTGCACGGCGTGGTTATGCTGAGCCAATCTTCCTCGTCACAGGCCAGCACCATCCACTTCCCCATGCCCTGGTCCAGCGCGAAGCGGCGCAGAAGGTTTTCCCACTTCATTCACGTCTCCTGGAAGATAATGGGATCCATGCGGAATCAGATGCGTACGGAGGAGGAGGAGGAGGAGGAGGAGGAGGAGGAGGAGGAGGAGGAGGCGGAGGAGGAGGAGGAGGAGAAGGAGAAGGGAGAGGAGGAGGAGGAGGAGGAGAAGGAGGAGGATGAGGAGGTGGAGGAGGAGGAGGAGGAGAGAGAGGAGAGAGGAGGAGGATGAGGAGGAGGAGGAGGAGGAGGAGGAGGAGGGGAGGAGGAGCTGGAGGAGGAGAAGGACGAGGAGGAGGAGGAGGAGGAGGGAGGAGGAGGAGGAGGAGGGGAGGAGGAGGAGGAGGAGGAGGAGGAGGAGAGGAGGAGGAGGAGGGGGGAGGAGGAGGAGGAGGAGGAGATGCAGGTGGAGATGAATGAGGAGAGGAGGAGGAGGAGGAGGAGGAGGAGGAGGAGGAGGAGGAGGAGGAGGAGGAGGAGGAGGAGGAGGAGGAGGAGGAGGGACGGTTTCGCCGTCTTCTGCTCTTTTTGGGCCTCCTGCGGGTCGTGGCCACGGCGGAACGCAGATCGAAAGACCAGTGGGCTCGGGCCCGAGTTGGAGGAAAAGCGACCCCAGGACCCCAGACCTCCTAGCGTCGCGAGCGAACACGCTTTTTGATCCGCGGGTCGAGAGCGCACCTCTTCTGGTCGAAGCTAAGCGGGACGCGCGAAGCTTGAATTAGGCAGAGAAGAGGAGGGGGTCGCGAGCGAACACGCGACGGGGGTATCTTAAGATTTCTGCCGGCGGGTGGCGTTTTTTTGCGCCTCTGGAGGCCTCCAGAACGTCCCGGGTCGGAGGATCGCACCGCAGCGACGTCGAGATGGAAGAAATTGGGCTCAGTGTTCCGCCGCATCGCCGAGGCAACGATGCGGCGCGACCCTGGGAGTCCTGTACCCTCCTCCTCCTCCTCCTCCTCCTCCTCCTCCTCCTCCTTCTGTCCTTGTCCTCCTCCTGTCCTTGTCCTTGTCCTCGTCGTCGTCCTCGTCCTCGTCCTTGTCCTCGTCCTTGTCCTTATCCTCCTCATCCATTCCCCTCCTCCGCCTCGTCCTTGCCCTTGTCCTCCTCCTCCCCCTCGTTCTCTCTTCTCCTTCCTCCTCCTCCTCCTTGTCCTCCTCTTTCTACTTGTCCCCCCCAAGATGCCGTTGGCTACCCGCACAACGGAGGGCGGGGGGAGGGGGGGGGGGACCTCTCTAGGAAAGCATGGGGGGCTTCTCAGAAGAGGCCTGCCCTCGCCTCGGGAGCTGCCGGGAAGGCTTCCCAGAGGGAGAGCAGAGCTTCCACCCTCATAGCAATCACCTCGGCACGCGAAGCCGTGTAGTAAACACGCCAGAGGGAGGGATCGAACAGGTCAGGGCTGTTGAGTTAACGCCCAGGGCCGCTTAGTGAACGCCGCTTATCGTGGTCGGGGTGGTTTTCAATCCCTTGACCGGGAGGCGAGGGGGCCTTCGGAGAGGAGCTCCCTCGCCTGCCTCCGCCTAGACGCCGCGACCTGCAGAAGATCGCTCCCCTCGCCCTGCCCCCGTCTGGACGCCGCCGATCATCCTTATTCTCCATCTCCTTCTCCACTTCCTCCTCCTCCTCCTCGTTATTCTCATCCGCCTCCTCCTCCTCGTTGTTATCCTCCGCCTCCTCCTCCTCCTCCTCCTCCTCCTCCTCCTCATCCTCCTCCTCCTCCTCATCCTTCTCCTCCTCACCCCAACAATTTCGCAGGCCCAGCGGGGGCCACTGTACTTGCCCTTCGAGGCCCTCATTGCCAATCCTCCTCTGCTTGTTTTGTGGCGCACAGATCGAAGAGAAACACTTGGCTTGCGCGATTTCTCACCACTGGCTCTTCAGGATCCGGCGAGGGAGAGTGCTGCAGGTTGGCGATGGACCCATGACAGGGACGACACTGGAAATGATTCATTTGTAACTAGAGATGCTTTCAACGATGGACCTTGCATAGCGTTTTCTTACCGGCATCAAGCTGCTCGGGCAAGATGGGGATTTTCTCACGCCGCTACATCCAGCGTGCTGCTGGTGCTATACGGGCCATTGCCTCAGCCAGTCCAGACCGCCCCGGTAGCAGACTTGCACGCTGCGAATACAATCCTTTGGATTGCCATCGTGCCGTTGACTATTTTCACGGACTGCATAGCTCTTCCAGATGACCTTCAGATATGTCCATCGTGGGCCACACGTCTTCGTAGGCCGACTGTGGACTTGTGGTTTGAGCTATAGCGTCGCATTTAAGATCTAGGAGGGCTCTGTGAGGACCTTCAAGTTTTGCACGTGGGCCACCAGAAGAGGCCACGGGTACCAAGCCACGGGTAACAGACGAGCCTGTCAGAGTCGAGACGTGCACGCTGTGTCGACAGACGTTACACCCTCCGTGTTCGGAAGCTGTTCAATAGTAACCGCAAGGCCCTCATATGGTTAGCTAAGGCCTACACCAAATATATGAACGATAAGAATCTAGGCTCTCGGCGAGGCACCGGGCTCGGCTCCAAGAGAGGGCTGCCCATCCCCCCGACCCGCTGCATTCCCCACGTGTTTCCCCAGATGGGGCCCGATGGACGTGCCCACCGTGTGCCAAGTGCGTGAGCAGTGCGAAGCAGCGCAAGGTACTCGCGAAGGGTCACTGCTCAGCGAAGATACTTCTGCGCTCCGGTCAGCGGCGCAGCCTGGAGCTTCTGGAAGAGGGAGTCCACGGCCCAGTGGCTGCCCCTGTTTGCAGTGCTCGCGGCTCTCAGGAGCCTGCTGATGCACAGGCTGAGGGTGGCGAGGTTCGGGTGTCTGATCCGTCGTCGTCGTCGTCGTCGTCGTCGTCGTCGTCGTCGTCGTCGTCGTCGTCGTCGTCTGTCCCCATCAGGGGGGCTCCGAGGTTGCGCAGCTTGGCTCCCTCATCGGCGCCGAGGAACGTGCGAGCCCGTCTGGACAGGACCCGCCGCCGCTCCCCCCTCTCCTCAGGGTCGCCGCGTGCAGGCGAGCACTGAACATCCTGCCTGCTGGATCCGCGCGAGTGGTGCCGTTCGTCACGCGTGGGGCAGCCGCCCCCAGCGACGCCGTCGAGTTGGTGCAGCCCGGGCATGGAGGCGGTCCCGTTCGGGGCCTGCGGATGCTCCGAACGGGAAGGGAAACGCCCAAAGCCCTCCCCTCGACCCTCGACCATCCCTTCGACCTGCAGCTCTTCTTTTTTATCATGCTTCTGTGCGCTTGAGCTTTGGCTTCGGCTTCAGCTGCGGGTGCACTGCGAAGCGCCTTCGGGCCAGCTCACCCGAGTTCCTCTTCCGCTCACGTGGGTGCCCCCCTCCCTCCTTCCCTCCCTAACCCCCCCCGGCCTTCTCTCCCCCGGCTTTCCAGAGCACTGCTGGATAGCTCTTGAGACCCAGGTCACCCCTCAGCGCAACTTCAGACCTCGAACCCCGGAGGAGGAGGAGGAGGAGGAGGAGGAGGAGGAGGAGGAGGAGGAGGAGGAGGAGGAGGAGGGGGAGGAGGAGGAGGTGGAGGGAATGCGGCACGAGGAAGATGAGGAGGAGGACGAGGAGGCGGAGGAGGAGGAGGAGGGAGGAGGCAGGAGGAGGGAAGCAACGGACGACGACACTGCGCCAATGCACAACCTTCGCCCTGCACCTCACCCACGGCGCCAACGCGAGGCTCTTCACCCCTCACAGCGAGGAGAGCTTCGACGGGGAGCTCAGGGCGTTGACGCCGCAGCCGAGGGATGGTTCGTGGCCTCCGGAGGCCCTGCGGGAGGAGGGGAGGGAGGACGGAGGAGGCCCCGCTTCAAGGCCCCGGCGCTATCAGTGAGCTCTCCCGGCCGTGCGCTCCCAATCCGGGGGAATCTCCGAGAGAGCGGGCAGGCCTGGAGGACGCCTCGGGCGCCGCGGCGGGAGCGACTTCCCTGAAAGGGGCCCAGGGCCACACGAAGAGACAGACACAGGTCCCATGATTCCCCATCCTTTCCCATCTGTTCTGGAGTCTCGTCTCTCCCCCCTTCCCATCTTTTCCCATCTCTTCCTCGGGATCGACGCTTGCCCGTGCGTGTTCTTCCCCTTCCCGACGATCCTCCTCCCAGGCCTGCCTGGCGGGTGCCGCCGATGGGTGCTCGCTGAGCCCTGGGCCACCGTGCCGCGCAGCCCCACGCACCCTGGGCTCTTCGACTGCACGACCTGGCGCCGGCGCCAGTCGCCACGCCCGCGGGGGAGGGGCGGGGGCGTCGCCCTCCTCGTGCTGCTGCTGGAGGCGACGCCAGGACGAGGATAATATCGGGTGGGGACACGTCGGGAGTCTCTGAGGTCTGGCGGCTCTGGAGGATGTCTCATGCCTCCTGGTCCTGCGCCGCTGCCTTCTCAGAGCGTCCCGGAACGCTCTGAGAGCGCTCCGGAGTGTGGAATGGACACATCCTCGCCCTAGCTCCGTCCGACTGCCGCTCTGCTGCTGCCTCTTCGGGCAGAAGGAGCCAGAGGGAGGAAGAGGAGGACCGGCATGAGGCGGGGGCGGAGCAGGGCGCAGAGGTCCCTCCTCCCTCCTCTCGTCTCCCGCCCCCGTCCTCCCTCCTCTCTCCGCCTCCCCGCCTCCCCCGCCCCCTCTGCCGGCCCAGCTCCTCCTCCTGCCTCCTCGGTCTCCCCCCTCCCTCCGTCCACCTCCCCAGCCTCGATGCGCGATGCTGGCGGCAGGTCTGCTCATAGATCTTGTGCCCGAGGTGGTTCCCGCCCCCAGCCTTCTCTGAGGGAAGAAAGCAGCTGTCAGATTGCCTCCTTCTTGCATTGCGCGGACTCTAGGTGCAAAACCTGTAGCGTTCATCAGAAAGATCCGCCGATCCCCGCTTCCCCTGAGACTCCGGATCTTCCAACTCTGCATTCCGTGGCCTCAAAAAACGTTCCAAGACGGTCCCGGATCGTGGAACGATTGGCCCAAGAATCATACAATGGCTCCAAGACGCCCCATGACGCCTTCGAGAAGCCCCAAGAGCCTTCCCAAGGGCCCCGGGAGGCACAAATCCATGGTTTTCCCTCGGCTTTTCATTGATCTGCGGTTATTGTCTTCTCGAGGCTACAACGCTCCATGACAGCCCAAGGGGCCCCGTAGACCGCCCCCCAAATGCCCAAGAGGTCCCTACGAGGGCCCCAGGACGGCCCAAACAAGGTTCCAAGACGGCCCAAAGAGGGGCCCAAGACGACCAAAAATCGCCCCAAGAAGGCTCCAAGAGAGGCGAAGAGGGATAAGACGAAGCGAGAATCCGATCTTTCCGCCCCGAGAGGCCTCTCAAAGGCCCCAAGAAGCTCCCAAGCGGACCAACAGAGGCCATCAATAAGCCCCAAGGGGCCCCCACGAAGCACAAAAGAGGCCCCAAGGCGACCCTCAACACGCTTTAAACTGCCTCCTGCCTCCAAGAGGCTCCGCCAGGCCCCCAAACAGCATCCAAGACGCCCACAATAATCCCCACATAATGCCCAAGAAGTCCACGATGCCTCAACCGTAGACTCCACGCAACTTCTGCGGGACGGCGGAAGCTCGTAAGCCTCTTGAATAAAAGAAAAGGCAAAGATGCAGGCCTGACCTAGCAACAATAAGAACATAGAGGGGGAATTCGGTGATAACGGGACATGCAGAGTACGCTTCGTGGCCAAATAACGCAAGGACCCCCTGGGATGCAAGACATATCGAAGGGGAAAGCGGCCCAGATTGCCTCCTCCGCCTGCTCCTCCTGCTTCCCTCCTGCTCCTCCTTGTTCTCCTCCGCCTCCTCCTCCTTCTCTGCCGCCCCCCCTCTGTCGCAGCCTGTCGCACCAATAGACGTGTCCGCTTGAGACTTCATTGCAGCTTGTGATTCTGAGGCCCGAATTCGAACAATTCCAGGGATGGATGGCTGGTGGTTTTCGCAGTGCGGCTCACCCTTGAGACTTCCTCGAATTCATAACCTGGAACTCCATCTAGTGTAACCATTACGCAGATACATGGCTACTCCTTTTCAAACTGGGGCTCTCGCTTACGACTTCGGCTAACTTTATGGCCACTAATTGGGCATTTCACAACCACTGAACGGATGGAGACCAGACCCTTTTCACACCTGGGGGTATCGCTCGTATTACCTGTTTGAGCTTCTCCTTAGCTAGAACGATGGAGGATGGGTCCTTGACCAAATTGGGTCTCGACTGAATTGCAGGCCCTACAAGCGCTCGTCATCCAGGGGGGCGCTTCCCGCACTGGTGACTTCTGCGGAGGGGACTTGGGGCAGGAGGGTGTTTTGGAGCATCGTTGACGCATCCTGGGTTTACTCGTGCCCTCTTGCTCCTCCTTCCTCCTCCTTCTCCTCCTCCTTCCTTTTTCTGGCCCCGGCCCGAATCCGATCATTCCCTGGGTCCACTCGAAGCGGGCCCCACTGATGCCGAAACTGAAGGGACACACGAACATTGAAAAACCGTCGTCGTCGTCGTCGTCGTCGTCGTCGTCGTCGTCGTCGTCGTCGTCGTCGTCGTCGTCGTCGTCGTGACTGTCGTCGTCGTGATTGTCGCCGTCGTCGTCGCCGTCGTCGTCGTCGTCGCCGTCGCCGTCGTCGTCGTCGTCGTCGTCGTCGTCGTCGTCGTCGTCGCCGTCGTCGTCGTCGTCGTCGTCGTCGCCGCCCGCGGCGACTGCCTGCAGGGTGCTGCCGTGCAGGTCGGCGCCCGCGAGGGCCAGGGCCAACGCCTCGCCCCCGCCCGGGCAGAGGTCCCGGGCGTACTCCTCGGGGGGCGGGGCGAGGCGGCGAGGCCCGCTCGAGGAGCGAAGGACTCGAAGGCCCGCCCCCAGACGTGATCGCGTCGGGGGGAGGGAGGGGGGGGAGGAGGCGGGGGAGGAGGGGGGGGTGGGGGAGGAGGAAGGAGGGAACGTGGGGCGCCGCCTCCTCATCACGAGGACCACCGTGTGTCCGCTGATCTGCGCGGCCATTGCGTTCTGGAATGCCAGGCGGACAAACTGGGACCGTGCTCCCAGCCGAGGCCATCCTCCATGAGCTGTCTCATCCACGCGATGACAGCGCTCTTGCCCGTGCCAGGAAACCCATGGACCAGGTCAAGCAGAGGCTCTCAGGAGCCGCGATTGATGTGATCGCTCAGCTGTTACCGTCTGGGGGCCGCCGCAAGAGCGCTGGCGAAGTGGCAGGAGCACCCCGCAGGAGCGAGGAGGGAGGAGGGAGGAGGAGGGGGAGGAGGAGGAGGAGGAGGAGGAGGAGGAGGAGGAGGAGGAGGAGGAGGAGGAGGAGAAGGAGGAGGGGGAGGAGGAGGATGAGGGGGCGGAGGGGAAGGGGCGGAGGGGGAGGGGAATGAGAGGAGGGAGGGAGGCGAGGGGATGCGCAGGAACGGAGGGCGATGGTAAGGAGGAGAGGACGCGCGAGGTTGAGGTTGAGACCAGGAGGACAGGAAGAGGGGAGAGAGGAGCTGTCCTCCCAGAGTTTGCGGAGCGGCTCGAAAGCGTGGTGCCTCAGGTGGCGCCACTGCTCTCTGCCAGCGGGCTCCTTCCAACTCTTGCCGCAGCCTCGTGGGCCCGGGCTGATACTCTTCGGCGGACGACGGCGACGGCGACGAACGATGATGACGAGGAGGGGTAGCAGGACTACGAAGAGGGAGGAGCGACGAGAAAAGGAAGGGGTGCGAGAAGGAGGAGAGCCAGAGGAGGATGAGGGGGGGAGGGGGAAGGGGGGGAGGAAGGAGGGGTGGGACTCTAGGGCGAGCTTCAGCATCCCAGCAGCCCTTCGGGCGTAGGTTATTGATCGCGTTTCGTCTTCTAGCCTCCTTTTCTCATTTTCGGGGAAGGGTTTGATCCCCCACCCCCACCCCACCGCCTCCCCTGGGTCTGGATGGGCAGGGCCGCGCGAAGTGGCAGGAGGTCCTCGTTGGCCCAGGGTGGCTTCCAGATGGCCCCAGATAACCCACGATAGCCTTCAAGATGGCTCAATGTCGCCCAACATGGCTCAACACGATCTCCACTGTGCTCAGGACCACTCCGAGCCGACTCCAGCTGGCCATGGGGCCTCCCCCTCGAGAGGCCCAAACCACTCTCACGCCTCAAGTGCTTCGATGTTTTTTGCGGCCTCGGCTTCTCGCTTCCGATGGGCCTCTGGTGCCTCAAGATGGCCACAAGATTGCCCACGAGAGCCCGAGGAGGGGCCCAGAAGAGGCCCAAGACTGCCCCAATAACGCCCCCAAGCGCATCAAGAGGGCCCCGAAAGGCGATATGCTGGGCTTTACGGTGCGAGGCCAAATATGGACCTCCCCTTCTTTGATCGATACTGGCCTCAACAGGGACATCCACGCCCCCAAGAGGGCCCAAAGAGAGCTCCGAACGTTCCCAACATGGCTCCCAAAGGGCTCCATGAGGCGACGCGCGCAGGCGGAAAGACAGAGAGAGGGAGAGAGGGGGGGAAACGGCGCCGCTGACGAGCCGCGCCGGCACCAGCAGCGAGCAAACGACGCCCCGTCACGAAGAAAACGGACATCTCAAAAACGCAGGGGGGGATTCGACCCTTGAACCCAAACCATAACCAAGTCCCCTGCAGGGACTTGGGCCTCCAAAGCACAGTGATCACGAACTTTCCAAGGACTCTGATGGAGCGAACCCAGGGCCATCGCCGCCTTCCCCCAGGCCCCCGCCGACGCCCTATCCCTCGAGGAGGAGGCAACGGCAGCAGGAGGGTGGTCCGAAGCAGGAGGAGGGAGGAGGAGGAGGAGGAGGAGGAGGAGGAGGAGGAGGAGGAGGAGGAGGAGGAGGAGGAGGAGGAGGAGGAGAAGGAGGAGGAGGAGGAGGAGGAGGAGGCGGGGGAGGGGGAGGAATTGGAGGAGGAGGAGGAGGAGGAGGAGGAGGGCAGGAGGAGGAAATGCAGGAACTAAAAGGAACAATGAAAGATCAGGAGGAGCAAGAGGAGCAGGAACCAGGCAGGGTCATCAGGGGAAGAAGGATCAGGAGCAGGAGCATCAGGATGAACAGAGGGGCGGCAGCAAGCGGGTGATGAGAACGACGAGGGGGGAGGAGCAGGAGGAGAAGGAGGGAGAGGAGGAGCAGGAGCAGGAAGAGGACGAGGACCAGGAGGCTGACGCTACAATCCCGATGAGTAAAATCAGCTCAATGTCAAACAAAGAGGAGGGCCCCCGCGCCTGGGTCCAGCGCTCCCAGCTGAGAGCCGCGTGCGCTGGCGGGCGCCTTGGAGCCCACGTTGTCGAAGCGCAGGAGCTGGAGGACGACGACGACGACGTCGACGACGACGACGACCCTCCCCGTCCCTCTGCCCTCTTCTCCCCCCTCCACCTTCCCACCTCTCCTTCTCTTTCGTCATCTCCATTCCATCTCCTGCCTCGCCTTTCTCCCCTTCCCCCCGCCTGTGGAGGGGGGATCTGGGGTAGGAAGGACGGGAGGTACGAGGACGATGATGACGAGGAGTCTATATTTTTGTTGACACGTACCGCATCAAGGCACCACTGAACCTTCTGCATTGAGACTGGCCGAGGTGCACAAGCTCCCACTCCGGAGTCACGCAGGCGAACGCCTGGAGCGGCGAGAGGGCGACGGCTGCAAACCACCGAGCGTCAGCACGCAGGCAGAGTGTAGAGCCCCTGGAGGGCTCGCAGCTACGCAGCTCAGGGACACAGAGCGGCCGAAGACGCCAACAAGTGGAGGAACAAAAACCAAGCTGGGCCGGAGGCCGCGCGCAGGCCCCGGAGGCCGCCGCCTGGCAGTTCGGGCGCACGGCCTCGAACAGAAGGCACAACATCGGCACAGCCAGAGCCTTGTGTCCCTGTGAAGAACCCCCCAGTGATAACAAAGCGCGGGACTTCTGAGGGGTCCATGTCTAGCAAATTCCTAGGGGTCGCAGCATGCTCGGAATGTTGGCCTAGTAGTCGTAGTAGTAGTAGTAGTAGTAGTAGTAGTAGTAGTAGTAGTAGTAGTAGTAGTAGTAGTAGTAGTAGTAGTAGTAGTAGCAGTAGCAGTAGCAGTAGCAGTAGCAGTAGCAGTAGCAGTAGCAGTAGCAGTAGCAGTAGCAGTAGCAGTAGCAGTAGCAGTAGCAGTAGCAGTAGCAGTAGCAGTAGCAGTAGTAGTAGTAGTAGTAGTAGTAGTAGTAGTAGTAGTAGTAGTAGTAGTAGTAGTAGTAGTAGTAGTAGTAGTAGTAGCAGTAGCAGTAGCAGTAGCAGTAGTAGCAGTAGTAGTAGTAGTAGTAGTAGTAGTAGTAGTAGTAGTAGTAGTAGTAGTAGTAGTAGTAGTAGTAGTAGTAGTAGTAGTAGTAGTAGTAGTAGTAGTAGTAGTAGTAGTAGTAGTAGTAGTAGTAGTAGTAGTAGTAGTAGTAGTAGTAGTAGTAGTAGTAGTAGTAGTAGTAGTAGTAGTAGCAGTAGTAGCAGTAGTAGTAGTAGTAGCAGTAGCAGTAGTAGTAGTAGTAGTAGTAGTAGTAGTAGTAGGTAGGTAGGTAGTAGGTAGGTAGGTAGGTAGGTAGGTAGGTAGGTAGTAGGTAGGTAGGTAGTAGGTAGGTAGGTAGGTAGGTAGGTAAGGTAGGTAGGTAGGTAGGTAGGTAGGTAGGTAGTAGTAGTAGTAGTAGTAGTAGTAGTAGTAGTAGTAGTAGGTAGTAGTAGTAGTAGTAGTAGTAGTAGTAGTAGTAGTAGTAGTAGTAGTAGTAGTAGTAGTAGTAGTAGTAGTAGTAGTAGTAGTAGTAGCGCCGCCAGGGGATTCCAGCGCAGATCCAAGAAATCCGCGAGGGCCTCCGACAACTCCTGCTCATGCAAATGTCGTCTTCTTCGATCCGACCCTGTCCACCCGGAACCCACCTGGCAAGCCTGGACTCGCCGTCGATCGGGAAGGCCCATTCCCCGTGCCTTTTTCTCGGTTGTGTGCGTTCATTGTTCGCACGATGATCCAGGATTAGAGGCCTCCTAGATGGGGCCGGAGTAGACAGGGACGGAGGACCGCGGCGCATCGGCGATGTATCGGCGACGTCGACCCTCCCGCCGTGATTTTTGTTCCACGACGCGGGGAGGCCTGGGCACTCGGACTCCATCTGGGAGGCCTGGAGCCGAGCGGACCGACGGGAGAAGCGGGCGGGCGCCTTCCCGCGGACCCTCTGGTCTTGGAACGCTCCCGGCCGGCAGCGGGCACCAGAGCAGCAACCACGCACACCTCTGAGGCAGCCAGACGGCCGCGTGGCTCCAGTGGGGGGGGAGGGATGGGGAACCCTGGGATGGAGGACCCCAGGGATGGGAAGCCCTGGCTCGGGGCGGCCGGTGCCGACGCGGTGACGGCGAAGTACGGGCTGCTGGAGGCACAGGCCCCCCCCCCAGGAGGAGGAGGAGGAGGAGGAGGAGGCGGCGGAGGAGGAGGAGGAGGCGGAGGAGGAGGAGGCGGAGGAGGAGGAGGAGCAGGAGCAGGAGCAGGAGCAGGAGGAGCAGGAGGAGCAGGAGGAGGAGGAGGAGGAGGAGGAGGAGGAGGAGGAGGAGGAGGAGGAGGAGGAGGAGGAGGAGGAGGAGGAGTGGGCGCAGATGCCAGGAGCGGGCGGGCGCCTTCCCGCGGACCCGCTGGTCGTAGAAGGCCGCCGGGCTGCGCACGCCGTGCGACCGCAGCAGCTCCAGCACGGGGCCCTGCGGGTCTGCCACCGGGCGCTTGGCCTCCCTCCTCGGGGCGGGGGGGCGCCGCGGCGACGACGACGAGGACGACGACGACGACGACGACGACGACGACGACGACGACGACGACGACGAGGACGAGGACGACGAGGACGAGGACGACGATAACGACGATCAGGACGATAGGGGCGATAACGACGGCGACGACGACAACGACGATGACAACGACGACGACTACGACTACGACGACGATAACAACGACGACGACTACGACGACGACGACGGCTACGACGATGATGATAACGAAGATAACGACGATAACGATAACGACGACGACGATGACGACAACGATAACGACGAACTGAGAGCGCCCGTTGTCAGAGGCGAGGGCCGACTGGCGTCTCCCAGCTCATGCTGCTATCGACTCTGGCTGATGCAGGACAGTCCAGACCTGCCGGTTGGCGCCGAAGCAACTTCTTTGACTGTGGGGAGCGGCCCCCGGGCCCGGGACGAACGCCTCATCCTCACCCTCCTCCTCCTCCTCCTCCTCCTCCTCCTCCGCCTTCCCCTCCCTCCCTCCCTCCCTCCATGGTGAGCGTCGTCCTGCCGTCGCGGCTCGCCAGCTCCGCGGCCGACATTGCAGCGGCCCTGTCCTCCGCATGCCCACGGGGGGGCCACGCGCGGAGTAAAACGAGGAGGACGGGGAGGAGGCGGAGGAGGCGGAGGCGGAGGAGGAGGCGGAAGAGGAGGAGGAGGAGGAGGAGGAGGAGGAGGAGGAGGAGGAGGAGGAGGAGGAGGAGGATGGGGAAGATGGGGGGAACAAAGGGGGTGAAGAAGAGAAAGAAGAGGAGGAAGAGTAGGAGAAGGATGATGATGATGGTGATGATGCTGATGATGGTGATGATGATGAAAAGGAAGCGGAGAAACAGGATAAGGTGGGGGAGAAGGAGGAGAAATATGAGGACCTAAATCAATCAAGATGCCTCACCAATGCTGCAAGACACCCTTCCGTCTCAAGTCCCCTCCTCCTCAAAGGCCACACGAGTTTTCCTTTCCACTGGGGGACGCGCATTCCTTGAATGAGGAGCGCCTGGTGTGCCTGTCGCTCAGGTGTGATCCCAGTTTGCGTAGGATGCACCCTCCATCCTCGGTGTGAAAAAAAAAACGCGAAAAACTACATTATACAAACGAACACCATCCTTGTACATCGTGCGCAATTTCAGAAATCAGGCCGTCATTTTCTTGTTCTCAACCGGGGACCCCATCTTGAAAACAAACGCCCTTCGTTCGTGTAGCCGTTGCACAATACGTAAATTCTCTTATGTACTTCAGGAGAGATGAGCACTCAAGCGACAACAACACTTTGAACACGAACTGGCCTCCACCCCTGTAGCTACCAGAAACTATTAACACGAATGTGCGCGGCGCTGGGGCGATGGCCACATTTTGAAAACCACCAGGCCAACATCACTGTGAACTGCTGCGCGAAATCGAGAATCGCATCTCGAAAGCCATCGGCTCTCCATCCGTGTACGTTTCGGCAGCCGTTCAAACACATCTGCGTTGCGCCGAAACGAAGACCGCATTTTGAAAGCGGCCGGCCCTCCGTCCTGGTAAGCCTTACAAAACCTTTTTACGACGAATGCGCGCGGCGCTAAATTGAGAACCGCGTGTCGGAAATCATTATCGTGTGCCTGTTTGAGCTATCATCCAGATGGTTGATCATGAAGAAAATGTCAAGCGACACGCCCAGCCAGGCCGATGGACGTCTGGCGTTGCGACAAGGCGAGGTTCACTTGTAAAGGGGAAGGATGCAGGATGGGCGGGGGAGAAGAGAAAAAGCGGAATGAGGGTGAGTGGAAGAGGTGAAGGGGGACAGTGGTGATGAGGAGGAGGAAAGTTCCCCGATAGCTCCTTGGGGAGCTAAGATGGCTTCAGACTAGAAGCTGGTAGCACAAGGTGGCCTGGCAGCTCTTTCCGGCGCCGGTCCAAACACCTCGCAGCGGCCTGCTTGAGGTCGCAACGTGTCCCGAGAAGCGCTTTCCTACTCGTTCCCAAGACGCGTGCCGGAAGCCTTTTCCGCAGCTCCTCCGAAGCTCTTTGGGAGCTTCTGCGAAGCTCCTTTCTCCAGCTTGCAAGCTCTCCAGGCATGCTTTCCAGCATCCTTGCAAGCATCTTTCATCAACATTTCACGTGTTTTAGACCGCGTCGCTGCCCGGGCTTTGGACGCTACAAATTTCCGATTGAAGCTCGACGGATCGTGGCTCGTCTCCCACGGAGTCTTGGGGAGTCTCCGAATGTCTTCGGAGGCCTTCCGAAGACACCAGGCCAACACCGCCACGGAACCTCGGCATTCCTCTCCTCCGCCCCTGCCCAAGACTAGAATGGAGGAGGGGAGAACGAGAAAGAGGAGGAGGCGGAGGATGGAGGTGAGCGCGAGGAGGAAGAGGAGAGAGGAGTAGGAGGAGAAGAAGGAAGACCAGGAGGAGGAAGAGGAGGATGAGGATGACTAGGGTGAACCGAAGATGCACCAACGATGCTACACCACACCCTCCTGTCCCCAGTTCTTTCAGAAGTCCCCACAATACGTCTGTTCCACGAAGCGAACGCCTCCCCTGTAACGCCAACGCCCGATGTGCCTGCCATGCAGGCGAGAGCGCCACTTTAAAATGGAATGCCTCCGCGCGGCTCAGCTGGCAGGCGCCTTCCCAGAGGATGCCACGAAGCCCCCCCCCTCACCCCTGGGCGCTCGGCTGATCGACATTCAATGGCCATCGCTCGGACATGTTGTTCGGTTTCGCGTGCGTTTTTCGGTTTCGTGCGTGTTGTTTCTGCAGCGTGAGCCAGGCCAGGGTACTCCTCAATGTCCGAGCTACAGCAAGTTTACAGGAGGGACGGCAGTGGGGGGAGAGGGGGACGGAAACGAACTTTGGCGTGTTCTCCGATGCTTGCTCGCCTTTCGGACCTTTCTTGGCCTCCACAAGCTTTCGAGGGCCTCATGAGACATCTGATTATGCTCGCGACGGGGGGGCACCATTCGAGTGCTCGAGTGAGAGACGGGGAGATAAGAGATAGAGAGAGAGAGAGAGAAACAAGGAGGAGCACACACACATATATATAACATATCAGATGTGCACACATATATATAATTACATACATATATATTTATATATTTTGATAGAAAGACTCTGCGTACGCCTGTGTACGTTGATGCGTACATGCATGGATCTATACTATATACATGTATAGGCATAGCACGCAAAACTCATAGCCACATGTTGTACACAGGGATACATACTTGCGAATGCCACGCGTGCGAGTTGGTGTGTGCACAACTCTTTTTCATTCTTGGCGTCGCGGCCACGTGCGAGACGGCGCGGCGTAGTATTTGTAGTTTAGTCTTGACGTTTGGTTCTTTGTTCCTCTAAGAGAGAGAGAAAGAGAGAGAGAGAGGAAGGGAGAGACAGAGAGAGAGAGAGATCAACACACACATGTATATCTACATACATCTATACATGTATAGTTAGAGAGGGTCTACATGTATGCATGTACGTATGTATATACATATATGTGTGTGCATGTATGTGTGTATGTATCTATGCCTGGCTGTATGTATGTATTGGTTGTCTGAGTTTATGTATGTTTGCGTACACAGATAAAACTACAAGTATATTTGTATGTATATGTACATGTACACATACACGCTTATCTCCATACATACGCAGGGACCGGCATCTATACAAATGTACACAAACAGAACTGCACTGCCTCTTCGCGCCGTACACCTTGATTCTTCAGGCTTGGCATGCAGGCGGATGTGAGGAAGCACGCTACACACATGATATATACACATACTTTTAGCGATAACTCATTGTTGCCTGTTATGGCATCGTCGCCGTAATACTGTTGTATTTTCTTTTTCCATCATGCTGCCTCTTCTTCTGCTTTATTCTCGCCCTATCCTGTGAACCCTTCCCCATGTTCCCCAGCTCTTTTTGCGGAGGCTCCTCCTTGCAGAGTTTCTTGGGGCCCCACGAAAATGTGGGAGCCTTCTTGGGTCCTTTGGGGACTTCCTCGGGCCACCCTGCTTCCAATCGCGGTACCGGGTCACGATTTGCAGTGCTTTGGGCGGCATCTTGGGGCCATCTCAGGCCGTCGGGGGGCTCTCTTCGGACCGTTCTGGGGCCCTGTGGGGGTCGTCTTGGGGCTCTTTTGCACTGTCTGGAAGCCCGTTTGGGTAGTTTATTGACGACTCTCGGGTCTCTTGAACGGTCCTGGACGCCTGAAGGCCGAAGAACCGAGCATTCCCCAAATCACGCAATACTTGCAAAACCACTGTTTTACTGCGTTCCCAAAGCCTCTTGGGAGTCTTCTGTGGGTCGTCTTCGGGCGTCTGGTGAGTGTCTGGGGCCGCTCGGGGCTGTCGCCAGGCCATTCAGCCGCCCTTCTGACCGTTCTGGGCTCGTTGGCTAGGCCCAGCAAGGGCGTCCAGGAGCCCCGGAAAGCTCGGGGAACCTTTGTGCAAGGCTGCCCAAGGGTTCCCCATGGCCACAGATCCGGGGGGGTTCTGTTTTGGGAGGGGCTTCGCCGTCCCGCCAGACTGCAAGAACATCGACATGCGAACACACACGCATATATATATATATATATATATACATATATATATATATATATATATAGAGAGAGAGAGAGAGAGAGAGAGAGAGAGAGAGAGAGAGAGAGAGAGAGAAAGAGAGAGAGAGAGAGAGAGAGAGACAGAGAGAGAGAGAGAGAAAGAGAGAGAGAGGGAGAGAGAGAGAGAGAGATAGAGAGATTTTTTGGTCACTGTTGACCGACCAGTTATGACAGTGCGACAGTTCACACCGCCCTGCTCGCTGCCTCTCGCGCCGCTATGCGGGCACGAATGGCGTCCAGGCAGGGCAGAAGAGTAGCAGAGGCCGCCACTTCGCCTCGGCGGGCCATCTGCAAGACAACGTCCGCCTCCTGCCTCGCAACCTGTTCTTCAGGTTCAGCGCAGGAGACAGGCACGCTGCGCAAAGGATGCAGTCCTCTGCGCAGTCGAGACAACACTTGGCCCCCGCATCGAATGCTACATGGCTGGCAGCGGGTGGCCAAACTGCGAATCTTGTGCTGGGAGTACGCGCCACAGGCCAGGCAGAAAAACAGAGGGGTAGGCTCCTCTCCCACCTGGGTGCTCGCCAGCTTGTGCCCATGATCGGGAGCCGAGACGAGGAGCTCGGCCACCCTCACAGGGAAACCTTCGCAACCGAGCTCGGGTCGCTCAGGTTGCCGTCCTCCGAAGAAAACCAGACACTTAGTGCAACGAAATCCCCAGAGGTTTCGCTGCCAAGCGTGCCACGACGTGGCCTTGTCGAAAACCTTCGTGGGTCTCCCACGTCGAGGCGGCCGCTGGTGAAACGCACGCGGAAACAGCGGCAGCACGCTCGCCATCAGCCGTGCGCACTTGCGCATCTGGTCGATGGTCACATCAACTTGAAAAACCTCGGCCTCCGAAGGCCGTGCATGCAGCTCGATGGCCTTCTTGGCCTCTAGATCTGCTCGCCAGTTGGCATTGCCGATCCTGCGCTCTGGTAGCGCCAGCTCATCTATCACTTCCAGCTTGCGGTGTGCAGGCGTGTGAACAGCTGGGGCAAACTTATTTTCACACATGTGGGCCAGGGCGCCTCGCCTGAGACCTCCATACCTTTGCTTCGGGGAGGTTTGCTCACTGGGTCCCTTGTTGTGGAGTCTGACCGCATTCATACAATCGCTGAAACACTGAGAGGACAGCCTCGGCACGAAAATGGGCAACAGGGCAAGCTGCAACTGCTCCGCGGCCTGGCTAGTCTGGGGCAAAGACAGCCACACCACTCCACGCGCAACGTACTTCTGGTGGCCTTCATCATCAAAGAAGACCCAAGAGTAGGCAACTCTGGATCACTCCGAAATACAGTGTGTTATGCATGATCCGTCCCCCGCCTGGTAGAACCCCGTGCAGTCAAACCTCGCCCACTCCACCTCCTGTCCCTCCTCATTATACAAGACAGGCTCATGTTCATCACTAAGACTGGGCCAGCTGTCAATCGGATGCAGCATCTTAAGGCCGTCGTGTAGCGCATCGCCACTGCCGAGAGCTTCGCGGCAGAAGTCAGCCGAGACCTCCGCCTCTTCTCGGGCAGCCACAACGTCCTGGTGCTGACACTCGAGAGAGACAGAGAGAGAGAGAGAGAGAGAGAGAGAGAGAGAGAGTGAGACAGAGAGAGAGAGAGAGAGACAGGGAGAGAGGGGGGGAGAGAGAGAGAGAGAGAGAACGAGAGAGGGAGAGCACATATATATATATATATATATGTATATACATGTAGAGAGAGAATCAGACAAATAAGGATAAATAGAGAGAGAGAGAGAGAGGAGATACGCCGACACATATATAGATATATGTATATATATATGTATGTATATATGTATAGACATGTGTGTATATATGTAAGTGTATATATCTATATGAAGAAAGCAATAGAGGGAAAGAGAGATATATATGGAAACCATACAACACACATATTGATATACATACACATAACGAACGACAGCGAACGAGAGAAAGAGAGAGAAGGGAGACAGAGAGAGATATGCATACATGCGTATGTCCAGAAAATCAAGGAGAGGGATCGGGCGTCTGAGAAAAAATCAGGAGAGGGAGGAAGGGATAATAACGGTAAGGAACATGCTGAGCATGATGAGGGGGAGAATGCTTTCAAAGTGTTCTGGTTATTGTCAGAGGATGTTGGAAAAATGGCAGGCAGACGAGAAGGAGATGGATGAGGAGGGGGGGGGGAAGGGGGGGAGGATGATGAGGATGCAGTTTAAGGGAACTTTGAGGATTGAGGGTGGGGTGTGGGGGTGTCAGGGGCCTTTCAAGGGCTGCGGCGGCCGTGGACGAAGGAAACAGGACGAGCAAGGTCTCGAGCGTGCTCGGAGGAGCCTGCCTACCCATCAACCACACAGCCATGGTGCCACTGTAGGAGCGCGGAACTAACGGGACTTTTCTGGCCACGGCGAGCCTCCGTCACAGATCGGTCCCCCACCTAGACCTCAGGAGTGGCCAGGGAACCCCGGGCCCCTCGAGAACCCAAAGCGGTTCTTATCTCAGCGTCTCGACTGCCCGAGGGCTGCACCAGGCGCGCAGCGACGTTCTACACGGCTTCGCAACCTCTCGCCTTCTTTGGGAGGCTCATCGCGCCGCTCTGTAATCCTGCGGGTTAGGGAAGGAGCCGTTCAACACCAGGGCGCTACACATGGTCAATCATTCAGAGCTCCAAGCCTTGCAAGCAGAAGTACGCGCGCACGCGCGCGGAATTCCGTGCATCTGCTCTGCCCAGGGAAGCAGCGCATAACAGAACGCACCGCAGCTTGCCAACGGCCCTGATTTCGCCTACTCCTGCGAGCCCGACTCTGTACGAAGCTGCGCGGGATCGAACACCGATCGGCACTCCAAGCGGGGCCCGTTGCACTGGCCCAGGATCATCGCACAGTTCGGCGCGTTCGGGTCGAGCTGCCCAGGACCGCGGCCACGACTCGGGCGCCGAACCTCGTGCTCCGGGCCGGACATCGGAGTCGGTGAACTATGTTCAGCGGCTGCTCCAACCGAGTGCAACGAACACCTCGCTCGCCATCGCTCGGACGTCCATTCCCTGTGTTTTTTGTTCGGTTTCGTGCGTGCCTGTTTCGCCAGATGATCAAGGACGCTCCTCGATGGTCCTCACCGAAGGAAAAATGCACACGTCCGAGCGATGCCAAGATCGCCTTGCGCGCGTGGCGCCGTGCCGCATGTTTTACACCGACATGTCGGATTCGTGCGCGCGGCCGCTTGCCCAAGGTATTGAAGAATACCTTCCCGCGCAGTCCCTTCCCCTGTGTTGTTGCGCGTGTCGGGCACGCGTGTTGCGTTGCACGTCTCGCCTGTCCTGTGCTGTGGTGGGTGCGTTGATTCTCTACCAGTGCTGCTTTTTGGGGGCTGAGTGGGGGCTCGGGCGACCAATTCGGTGAGCGTCCCTCCCCAACGTCTGTCATTTCAGCGGCCGCGTCTCCTTCCCCGCCTCTGCTGGCCGCCTCGATCTAAGATCAGGTGCAAATTCGCACCCAAAGACACGCGGTGAGCGGAAAGCGCGGTCATCAGCACGGTGAACACAGCGGATGCGACTGCGACCATGGGCAGCGGCGGACAAAAACACTGCATAAACAGAAACTGCCCAGCATGATTTGACTACGGCGGCGTCCGTCTGGACTAGCCCGCCGGTGTAGCAGGAGCTGCGGTCCCTGTGGGGCCACTGCGACCGGCACGTGATCGTCGCGGTCGAACCTCTGCTGGTGGATGAGGTCGTCCAGCGCGGCGCCCCATCTGAACGAAGGGGCCCAAGGACACACAAATAAATACACACAAATAACAGGAATCCCCATCTTTTTCAATATTTCTTGGATTTTCGTCTTCCCCCCCACTTCCCATATTTTCCCATATCTTCCGGGGAGTCGACGACTCATTGTGTCTGTATGTTTTTTCCCCTCCGGACCGAGGATGTCATCGTCGTGGTTCCTCAGGCGGCGCGTTCCCGTCGGGGCTGCCTTGGGTGGGCGCCGCACCCCCCGCGTCCCCCAGCGGCACGCGAGAAACGCGACAGGGGACGGGGGCAGCTCCAGCGAGGCGCACGCCCGGGAAGTCCGCGCGGCATTCCGAGATTCTACGGCTGTGTTGTCTTCCATTCGTCGAGTGGTGGCGGTAGGGGGGAGGGGTGGGCAATGGGCACGCAAGGTCCACTTGACTCAGGTCGGGAACCTCCTCCTACAGGCGGGTTTTGGACAACAAATGAACCACAGTCAAAAGACATTCAAGTAGTCAAAGAAAAGAAAAGATCGTCCCCAGACTATTTGTGGGCTATTCTTGAACACTCCTCCTGTGGAGGGACGACGTAAGACTTATCCTGGGCCGCAGCGCCGTCACCGTCCGCGGCCGCCGCCCCGGGCCTGCAGCTCGCCCCAGGACGCTGCCGCGGACGGCCGCGTTCCCGCCCGCAGCCGCGGGCCCGCGGGCCCCGCTGGGCATCCGCGCCGAGCGCGGGGAAGCCAGCAGGCACCACTACAGCACCGCGAGGAGAGTTTTTCCTGGCTGCCCTCGCCAATAGCGCATCCGCGCGGAGGTGCTCGGAGCAGAGCTGCTCCAACTGCTCCGCGCGTGGGCGCATCCCGCCCGAGAACCCACAGGGTTTGGAACGGAGCAGTTTCCATTCCGGTTTGTGGGGCAACAGAGTTGTAAGCATTACGCGGATCGGAAACTACTCTGCCGAATGACACAGTCATCATGTCATGGTAGGCATCTTTAGAGGGATCGGAGATATCACCAGCATGGCAAATTGAAGAAACTTTTGTCCTGACTGTGCAGTGTACCCCTGCACTTGGGGCTCGGCCACGAGACACCTTTCACGAGAAACCCAACCCTGAGACCCCAGGACGCCCATCGATTTTTGGTGTGGGAGCGTCGCGCCTTCCACAGCAAGACCATCGAAACCCAACACACCCTGGGCACCCTGGAGGCAAGCAGGGTGTTTCTTAGCATGGGTCTCCACTGTCCTCCCCAGACCTCTCCCGGGGTGCGTCCTGACCAGAATTTCGAAGCGAATCCAGCGGTGGCGACGAGGGCCTCCAAGGGATGCCCCGAAAAAGGGAGGCGAACGAGGGACGGGCAGCGGTGTGGGCCCTTTTTCCTTTGAGCAAGGACCGACCGTCCGACCACTCCTGTAGCCCTGCCACGGGAACGCTTCTCAGAACCCCCAAGAATGTCAGACAAAGCAGAACCATGCTCCTGGCACGTCCACACGATGGGTCGAGACAGAGCGGCCTCGGCCAGAGAGACGTTTTTGCAGAGCGTCTCTCGTGCGGACCACAGACGATGCTCACGACACTCTCTGCCGGGCCTGCACGCAGGCCGGGACGCCTCGCCTCTGCTCGACTCCTGGCCAGGGGGGAGGCTCGGGCCACGGCTGGGTCCCCCGACGCAGGGTCGAGGGAGCGCGACCCGAATCCAGAGGTCCCCGGACCACAGACGATGCTCACGACACTCTCTGCCGGGCCTGCACGCAGGCCGGGACGCCTCGCCTCTGCTCGACTCCTGGCCAGGGGGGAGGCTCGGGCCACGGCTGGGTCCCCCGACGCAGGGTCGAGGGAGAGAGGACAGAAGAAAAGAGGGAAAAGATACGAAAAGGAACGAAGGGAAGAAGAAGAATAGAAGAAGAAGAAGAAAGAATAAGAAGAAGAAAGAAGAAGAAGAAGAAGATGAAAGAGAAGAAAAGAGAAGAGAAGGAAGCCAAGGAAGAATAAGAAGAAAGAAAGAGATAAGAAGAAGAAAAGGAAGAAGACAAGAAGAAGAGAACATAAAAGAAGAGGACGAAGAAGAATCGGAAGAAGTAGAAAGAATAAGCAGAAGACGAAGAAGAAGAAGAAGAATAAAGCAGAAACAGAAGCCACTAGTCGAGATCGCCACTCATGAGCTAGAATTCCTCCTCCTCCTCCTCCTCCTCCTCCTCCTCCTCCTCCTCCTCCCTCCTCCTGCGCTGGGCGTCCGGACCGACCGGGCCCCCCCTCGCGGCGCGGCCGCCCTCTTTTCCGCCGTGCGGGCTCCCAGGGCCTCCGCCCTGCCTGCCTCCGAGGCGCGCAGGCTCTACCGCCGAGGGGGGGCTGCGCGCCGCGTCGGGGTAAAAAGTTCTAGGCCTCCTAGATTCGGGTCGGGCCTGTCCCCCCTACAGGGGGATCTTGGACGAAGAATAAAACATACCCCAATAAAATGCTCAAAAGATGCCCAAACATACGCCAAAACATAGTTCCCGACCATTTTTGAACATTCCCCCTGTAGAGGGACAGGCCCGACTTAAACCTAGATGGGGTCGGAGTAGATGGGGTCGGAGGATCGTGCCGCATCGCCGATGCATCGCCGATGCGGCTCGATGTGGGGCCCGATTTGTTTCGCGTCGGCGTCGCCGATGGATCACCCGTGTCGACGATGTATCGCCGGTGCATCGGCGATGTATCGCCGATGCATCGCCGATGTATCGGCGATGCGGCGCGATCCTCCGACCCCACCTACTCGGACCCCATCTAGGAGGCCTCCTAAAGGGGCGGCGCTCCGCTCCGAGCTCTCTCTATCTCGGTGGAGCGCTATCAACAGGGCTCCTCCTAGGGCACACGGGCTCCTTCCTCTGCTCGCTCCCGCCCGCCCCCCCCCCCCCCTCCCCGCGCCCTCACTGCCGCCCCGCCCCGCCTCCTCCATTTTCCGCCATCCGTCATCGTTCCTGTTTTTCTTTTTTTATTCTGCTTCTGCTTCTTCTTCTTCTTCTTCTTCTTCCTCCTTCTCATCCTCTCCTCATCTTCCTTCTCCTCTCCTCCTCTACTTCCGTCCTCCTCTGTTCTGTTCTTCTTCTTCCTCCTCTCTCCTCCTCCTCTTTCCGTCTCCTCATTCTTCCTGTTCTCTTCTTCTTCTTATTTTCTTCTCCTTCTTCTCTTCTTCTTCTTTCTTTCTTTTCTTTCTTCTCCTATTCTCCTCCTCTCCCCTCTCTTCCGTCCTCCTAAATCCTTCCTCATCCTTCCGTTCTTTCTTCTTTTCTCCTTCCTCTCTTATTATTCGTCTTTTCCTTCTTCTTCCTCCTCCTCCTCCTCCTCCTCCTCCTCCTCTTCCGTCCTCCTTCATCGTTCCTGTTCTTCTTCTTCTTCTTCTTCCTCCTCCTCCTCCTCCTCCTCCTCCTCCTCCTCCTTCCCTCCTCCCGTGGAGTGGCGGCCGTGTGACCCGGCCTCGCCTGCAACGGGGGGTCATGCCCATCTTTGCTTGGTGGGCTCCCCTGGCGCGCCTCGGCTCCTGACCTGCAGAGGCTCCGTCTGCATATGCGCGGGGACCTGCCTCTCCCGCCGTGCGGGCGGCGCTGTCGCGATGATAACTTCTGTTCTTTTCAAGCCGACCTGCTGTGAACTCGGCCCCTCGACGGTCCCTCGGCACCGAGCTGAGCGCGAGTCGGAGACAGGGGCACCTTGTGGCCAAGGCGGGCCCCCGATGGAAGTCTCCTGGAGGCCCGGCGCGGAGAGCGTCGTGCCTCCGCGACCCCGGGCCCCAACGGCGCCGACCGCAAACCACACCCCGGCGCAACCACCTCGCAGCCGCCGAGTGAGGGGGGGAGAGATTTGCCTCATCCTGGGTCTCTGGCTCCAGTGCCACCGGCCGATATCGTTCGACTCGGGGCTGCGCCTCTCGCCTGTTATCCGCCCGCTCGCCTCCGTCGCCGCCCAGTGCCGGGCGGGCCCTTTCACCTCGTGCAGTCATCCTCATTTCCCTCCTCATCCCCCTCGTCAGCACCATCACCAACATCATCCTAGCATCCCCATCCTTCTCGTAACCCTGCTCCTCACTGAGCCTTGATTCCTCTGGCCACTGCCGCGGGGTGACAGCTTCCGCGGGAGGGGGAGGGCGGTGCATCGAGAGAAGAGGAAGGGAGACAAGAGGGATGAGGAAGATGAGGAGGAAAGAGAGGAATTGGAGGAGGAGGAGGAGGAGGAGGAGGAGGAGGAGGAGGAGGAGG